TTCATCAAATCAAGTTTACATTTTGAGTATTTCAGTAACAAGATCTCACCTAAAAATAAGTTAACCACCAAGCTGTGTGCTTGTGAGGTAACAGTTTTTTATAAAGAAGCAGGTCTCTGGCTCACTGCCTTCAGCTCCTGCAACACAGTGTGCTGTGCAGCAGTACTACTACACAAACAGGTGCTACAGGCTTTAAGACAGGAACTCACGTGTACTTTGTGAAAGGAACATCACCTGCAGCTGGCAATCCACACCACGTGGCAGGGAACACAGGAATGGGATTTACTGACAAGTAAGACACCTTAGCACATGCAAGTTCTTATTTCTCATGCCTAGCTCTTTATTTTACTGTGGCTTGGACTAGTTACGTGTTTTTTGTAATAAATATAGTGGCATACTTCAGAACTTCACTAAACCACCCAAGTGGTTCCCACAGATCCCCTTTTTAAAGTCTGAACAGTTTTTTTATTGTCTCAATAGAGCTTTTAAAGACATTCTGCTATTTTCATGCCACCATTATTCAAAATCTTACTAGCAACTTACTAACAAAGCAGCTGGTTTGGTTTTGTATATTTTGTCTCTGAGTACTTTCAGCTTTTACAGATTAAAACTTTCCAATGCAAATTTGTGAGCAATAACCAAAATACTCACCTCTGCTACAGACTGAAGACTCCGGGCAAACTTGAGCTGGTTAACACCATGATGCACAGGTTTACCATAGGTAGCACCTTTCGGGACTGGGCGTTTGCGACCACCACGGCGAACACGGACACGGTAGATAACATAACCTAAAAGAAACAGTGACTTAGGAGCTAGAACAATTCTAGTACCAGTTTTCATCCCTGCACTGCATTTCCAATCCCCAAAAATTTACATTAAATGCTGCAACACAAAGTCATTATACCACTTTTTACCAAAATATACAACCTGAGGTAGATAGTACAATATGTTTTTGTTACTTTAATTACAACTGAGTAAGGAAAGTGATATCCTGATGCAACTACTTTTTGGTTCCAAACCAGAGCTTATGGCACCTTACCACTACCCAGTCCCAAACCAACTAAGATCAGCTACAACTATATTGTAATACAATCATAAAAAAAACCACCAAAAAAACCCCAAACAAAAACCAAACAAAACCACAAAAAAAAACCCCACCAGCAAAACCACTACCCAAACTGCACAATTCAGATGGCAGCACTCACAAAGCACTGAAGCACAAGCCCTCCACAAACCCTGCTGAAATCTAGTCACTGAGAAATGAGGAAACTAGATAACAGTGACAAAAGTGTCAAGTCTTAGCTATTTATTTTCTTTGTGAATACTGGGTTTTAACCTGGATTTCCACAAGTTACACATGGATGGCCACTTTTCCCACTTCTTTCCCTGACCAATAACTGTTTTTCAGTAACAGTACGAAGTCCATCATCTTGCCCAGGTGCATGCAGCTGTAATACAGTCACAGTATGGGTTGCTTTGGAAGGTACCTTAAAGATCATCCAGTTCCAACCCCCCTGCCATGGACAGGCACACCTTCTACCAGACCAGATTGCTCACATCTCCATCCAACCTAGCCTTGGACACTGCCATGGATGAGGTATTCACAACTCATCTGGGCAATCTGTTCCTGTGCCTCACCACCCTCACAGTGAAGTTTCTTCCTAATATCTAATCTAAATCTAATCTTTCTGTTTGAAGCCATTCCCCCTTGTCCTGTCACTACATGCTCTTGTGCAAGTCTCTACTCAGATCTCTTGTAGTTCTTTTCAAGGTGCTAGAAGGTCACAGTTCAGTCACCTGAAAAGAGCTGAAGTAACAGATGGCAAAACTTGGTCAGAGAAAGGACATCCCCCAAACCTAGGACACTAAAAACCCTGCTCAATTCTGTGGCACTAACATTGCACAAGAACAAAAATTGAGGCCAAAGCCCACTTGATCTTTACCTGCCAGAATGGCAACAGAACGCATAGATGCAACATTAAGTGAAGCTAAAGTTTTAGGCTGTGCTGCGGACACTGCTACCAACTGAGGACATTTACAATATTCTGTTCATTTCCTGCAGAAAACTTCAGTTTATTGTGGGATACTTCAGTTTCAGATTTTGTTATTCTGCTGTCACTGAAAGAAGTCAATGTCACTGCATCACGTGGCACATGGACTTCACTTGTCCATGCCATTACCTTGCTTGGCCTTGTATCCCAGCCTGCGGGCTTTGTCCGGCCGCGTGGGGCGCGGGGCCCGGTGCAAGGCCGACAGCTGGCGGTACTGCCAGCAGCGGACACGCAGCAGGAACCGCATCACATCCGACTGCTTCTTCCTCCACAGCTCCTGGATGTACTTGTAGGCACCCATGTCTGTCTACCTGCTGGATGGAGAGGTCAGTGAAAACAGTGAATACAGTTCCAAGTTTGAACATCTTCCAACAGTGGCACCACACCAAATCACACATGGAACAGCACTGAAAGACAGGGAGCTCTCGCGCTTCCCTGTACCACTGACACATCTGGGCACACGGATCACAGCTGGCAGCCTTTAACATGATACCCTGCAGTCACCATTCCAGCAATTTTCTTCCTTTTTATTTATTCTGAAGTGCTAAACTCCTCAACTGAGAAATTTTCAGATGTGTTATGTCTGATACTGCCAAACCCAATAACTAACACCTGAAACAAGTTTTAGATGCAAATCTATCAAGAGCCACGTGATTGAGGAGCGTGGCCTTTATTGTTAACTCTGAGTTCAGTATGGGTTTACTTCTAAGTGAAAGCTTCACTTAAGTGAAGTTTTATTAGTGTACGTTTAACAATGGCTTAAGAAATGAACTGGATTGGGACTTTTGATTCCTCAAGAGCAATTCACATGGCGACTCCTACATCTCAGCAGGCCTTCCTCCACATCCACTGAAACTGGGCTTCAAGTAAAATGGGGCATACTGACCGTGTCACACTAAAAAAGAAGTGTCAATGCTCAGTGTCCTACTGCTGCTGACATTTGTGTTTTGCTCCATAGATGCTCTGTGAGTCTTTTTAAGTTGTTTTTAAAAATCGTTTCTGCTGAGCACCATTGGAGCTAGTTTGTATTGACTTCTGCAGAGCAAGGGCTCAACACAAAGTTCCTACAGGTCAAATTTTATCCTTAAGAAACAATGATTATTACACTCTCTTCTGAACTGAATATGTCTTAAAAGTTTAAAGCATCTCAAAAAATCAAATATTAATTAATTTTTTCGTCATGGTTACTGCTGTTTTCCTAAAAACCCCTGCTGCCTTACACATCTGCAGCAATCAGCACGCGTACCTGAACTCACCATCACATACACGCAGGCCACTTTATTTACATTTTAAAATACGCCAAGAACAGTTCGTATGTGATTTTGAATACCCCTCTTGTTTAAACCTGCCTAGCTATAGCTCATCCATTCCCATCCCCAGCCCTCCATCTTTTCACGGCCTAATGGCACAAAAAACCCCACGAACAAGCCACAAACCCGGAGCAAACCAGGGCGCACCGTCTGTCACGGATCTGCACCCGCTCTGGCGCGCCAGGGCCACGCTGGGTGCCCCGCTCCCCTCCCTGCCCCACCGAGGCGCAGCCCGCGGGCCCTCCTCCACCGGCCTCCCAGACGCTCCGCGCCCGCAGGAGCAGCCCCATCCCACCCGGAGCCGGGCGGGCGCGGCGGGGAAACAGGCGGATGGGCGCTCGGGTCCCGGGATGGGCACGGATTGAGGGAAAGGCCGCGCCCGGACCAGCCCTCACCTGATGGCGCCCAGCGACGGAAAGGAAAGGCCCTACTTCCCACAAGCCCTCGGGCCGCAACACACTTCCGGCTGCTGCCGCGGTGCCTCATGGGTAATGTAGTCCTGCGGGCATGCGGGCCGCACGTCCCTCCCCGCCCGGCCCGGCCCGGCCCGGCCCCCCGCGCCCGCCAATGGGAGCCGGGGGCGGGTCCGCGCGGTCAATGGGGCCGGCCGGGACGCTCCGTCCAGGTGCGCGCTCGCGGCGGGGGGGCGGCCCCGGGGGCGCGCTCGGGGGCCGGGGCCGCGCTCTGGGGCCGGGACATTGGGGCACGGTCTGCCCGGGGGCTGCACCTGGGGCAGGGGCTTGGCGAGATGCGGCATCTCCTGATATATCCCCTCTCCCCAACCCCCATAACCCCCTCACGTTAGGGACTGGGGCGGGACTTTGCTTAAAACCCTGAAATGAAGCCTTAAAAAAAAAAAAAATTTAAAATAACAATAATTTTTAAAATCGTAAGATTACGAGGAAGGGCTGAGGGAGCTGGATTTGTTTAGTTTTGAGGAGGCTCTGGGGAAATCTCATCACTCTCTACAATCCCTGAAAGGAGAATGTAGTGAGCTGGGGGTTGGTCTCTACTGTGACTGCAGTGAGAGGACCAGAGGAAATGGCCTTCAGCTGAGATGGGAGACTCAGATTAGGTATTAGAAGAAAATTTCTCACTGTTAGGGTGCTCAGGCATTGGAAAAGTTGCCCAGAGAGGTTGAGGAGTCACCATCCCTGGAGGAGTTTAAAAGGCATCTGGATTAGTTGCTGGATGATGTGGTTTAGTGGTTACTGTGGTAGTTCTGGGTTGCTGTTTGGACTGGATGATCTTAAAGGCCTCTTCCAACCTAATGATTCTATTTTATTCTATTCTAAATAGTAAATGCTAAGGGTAAAACCCTGGAAACAATCCTAAAACCTCTTCAGTGGAGGGTAGGGAGGGGACACCATCGAGCCTGCTTCTGCAGGCCCTGGCTTTACCCACTGGTCTGCTCCTGTCCCTGCTCCCATCCCTCCTGCATGGCACAGGTCGGATGGGGCATTGAGTGACCTGGTCTCATTGGTGGCATCCCTACCCACGGCAGAGGCCTAGAAGGAGAGGATCTTTAAGCTGCCTTTCAACCCAAGCCATTCTGATTCTATGAGTTAGGCTTTCTCAGCCTGCAAGTCCCTTCTGCCTCCCTACCTGCGGCTGCAGGGTGACCTTTCTGTTTTTCAGCGTATGCTTTTCAGAGCACCCTGGCTTGTGAAGCATTGCCTGGTTAAACTGGAATTGAAGCAGGACAACGCCAGTTCCTCCTGGTCCAGAAAAGGTACTCTTCAGTTCTCTCTGTGGGAAATGGCTCCAAACAGTTAACTGAGTCAGGGCCTGCTGCCCTGCCATGGCTCACTGGCAGAGGGAAATGCCCCTAGCTGCTGGATGCTTCCTGCTAGAACCAACCCCATCAAACTGATTTAAAGCAGACCGAAAAAACCTGCTTCTGCATTTGCTTTCCTCTGTTTCTGCCTGTCTTTTTACACTCCTGTTTTGTAGTTCCTAGTCCGTAAAAGCTAGAAACTTACTGTGAGCAGAATAAAAGGGAAGGAACCACCATTTTCTTGCATTTCTAGAAGCCATCCTGGTACTATGAAATATCATCAAGCCCACCCCAGGAAGCCCGATAACGCTGTGCACACACACACACCAACAAACACAGCCCGTGCCCTGGGGGTGTGCATGCTCCAGCACTCCCAGTCTCCCCAAACCTGACAGGACAAGTGTCAAGGCTGCAGGCAAGCATCAGCACCACTGGCAGCTTTTCTAAAACCTGAAAAAAATGGTGTGGGAGGAAATTTTAGTCCTAAAAATATCAGTCGCTGGCGAGCGCTGGGAGGGAGCTGTGCCCCCGCTGCTTGGCGCTTTGCCTTGCGCCTTCCATGGGCTCGGCTCCCACCCTTGGTGCCCATCCCTGCGCCGTGCCAGGCTCACAGCCTCCCCTGTCTGCACAGGGCTCCGCTGCGGAACCGGCCCTCGGGAAACATGGGAAAGGGCTACAAGGTGGTGGTTTGTGGAATGGCCTCAGTGGGAAAGACTGCGATTTTGGAGCAGCTTCTCTATGGAAAGCATACTGTTGGTGAGACATTTTTACTTCTGGGGGGAGGTTGTTTCCTTTTCTAGCATCTTGTTCGGTGTGGGCCCCAAAACACCAATAATGGAGGACTGCGAACTGTGCTGAGGTGAAGGAGGAAATGTGGTTTTGTGGCATCTCTGGGCTGTTCTTAAAATTCATAATCCCTTGCTTATGGATTTTTAAAAGAGTCTTGAAGAAGAACTCATTCCATGATGTTCCTGGTAATAAAATACAAGAATGTTTAAAAAGAAACACTGAAAGTAGGTGATGTGCCGGCTGCATATTTACAAAAGAAATATCTCGTTCCCTGAAAGATGCCGTAGATGCCTGAAAAATAAATAGCTGTCACATGACGAGTGTAGACACTGTTTAGACTTTTGTTTCACATTCTTAAAGCTTTATTTTGCTTGGTTTTGGCTAACACTTAATCAAAGCTCTGGAAAGAAAAACAGCTCCACATTAGGTTCCACATTCTGTGCTGAATTTTGAAGGCCAAGTGTCTCCGCTCTCTTAAGAAATCCTCACGAGGAAAACAGACTTGACAGAGGAACAGGGGATGCCTGATATTTGCTGTGCACAGAAGGAAGGGAACAAAGGCAAAAGCGGCATGTTTCCCTCTGTTTCCACATTTGGCTTTGAAAGGAATGGCAATGATCATCAGGCTGACAAATGATTCCTGCCTCACCTAGAAACAAGGGGTGGCATCAGGGCTTTGACAGAAGATGTTTAGTCACTTTGCATTTTTTTCTTGAGCCAAGTAAATTAGACATCAGGATAAGTTGTTGGATAAATGCAAGGATTTCTAGCATGGTGCTTTGCAGCACTGCACCTTTAAAATGTGTGGATGGGAGGAATTTGCTGGCAAAGCGATACAGAACTGTGTGCTAATACCCGTGTTTAAAAGGAGGATTTCCTCTAATGTTGCAGCAACATCTGTTTCCAGCATCCTACTGAGTGCTAGGCACGTAGCCCTGTGTAGCTTTCAACGTGAAGGCTGCAAAGCTTTGCAGGCTGAAGGTTTTTCCCTTTGCTGCCGACCTGCCTCCCCTCTGTGCTGGGCTGTGTGACTGTCAGAGACACCCGAGCAGCGTGAGCAAGGCCACGTTACTTAAATCGTATTGCCTTGCATTAATTCCTGCCTCCTATTAGCAACCCAGGCAGGAAGGATATTTGGGTGTTGCTGATCAGAGGAGCTATTTATGGAGCCAGCCATGTACATGATTATACAACGTCATGGACACTGGCTGACATAACCGGAGGGAGGCCTCGTGCCTGGGGTTTAGCTGTGGGTGTCCCTCTGTCACTCCCAAATGCCCTGCTCCAGCTTGGCCACTGAGCAACACAGACCTGCCCCCGGCCACCCTGCACTTAAAAAGTTAATTTTTCCTTGCCTGAAGCTCTGCTTTTATTTTTTGGAGTTACTGGTAAAGGAAGGAACAGCTGATAGCAGATGGGGAGTGCAAGGGGAGAAGGAAGAAGGTAGTTTCCTGTTTTCTGTGATTTTGGTCAAATCGTGTTCTTAAGACATTCAGAGAAAGAGGACAAGTAGCAGAGTCAAGATCAAGATATGGAGAGGGTCATTACAGAGCTGCTGCACCTCCAAGAGATGAGTGGCCACAGCCCAGCAATTTTGATTTCCCCTACACAGGCCATCAGGCACATTTGGAAGGATGGACCAATAAGCTGGTGCTTTTGGCAGTCCTGCTGAGTGGTCACCATCCTCCCTGCCTTTTCCTCAGCACATAGGCAGTTGTGGCAGAGGTTGCCTGAAGTATGGGCTGGTGGAAATGGTTCTCAGAAGACCTTCAGCTGCTGTTCCGCTCTGTATTGATTTAACTCCCAAACTGTAGGGGCAGGATGCCATTGTGAGGATCTCCCTGTGCAAGGACAGAGTTTGAGGAATGGCGCGTCTTTGACTGCTCCTTAGCTGAGCTGCTTTAAACTGCACAATGGTGCTACCATTGCAGGGGTGGCCCTTCCCCACCTGAAACATGATTACAGGATCTTGATCCTCGTTTCCTAAAGCTTGTGAGCTCCAGAAAGCGGACATGTACATCTTGGCTGCTGGCCTTTTTGGCCGGAGGCAAGGAGGGACCCGTGTGTTTGCTGAAAGCCTGTCTGTTCAGAGCCAACCAGCAAGGCAGCTCACCAGGCATGGCAACATGGACACAAGCTGTTTCAAAACCTGTGCTTCCTGACTGACGTCAGGAGCGGCTCTGCGGCCGCTCCAAGGGCCCCGGAGCCGTGGGGAGGATGGCCGAGCCAACATGGGGAGTCTTTCCGTTCTGATGGCAGGCACATCCTCCTCTCAGTGACAAGAGGCACGGTCTGCTGCCATTCTCTGAGGTGTCACAGCTACTGTCACGAGGGTCTCCTCCTAGCTGTAAATCAGCCATGAGTCTGTCAATGCTCATGTGCCTCCTGTTGACTTTCCTGTAAAAAGGAGTGGTGGCACAGCTGGTGTCAGGGAAATGATTAGAGTCCTTGGAGGTTTCATGCTGCTATGTAAAGCCCTTGGCTTTGAGCCCATGCTCCTGGCTGTGTGCTTGGTGATGGTGCTGTAAACCCAGTTGCACTGTTTCTTTTCCTAGAAAAACATGCACCTTCAGGTTTCCCTGGCTCATCATGGGTGAAGTCCTTAAGTGCCACTGTTACTTACATGGTCAGCAGCTAACACTCTTGAAAAGGCACTAAGATTGCTTGAGGTCAAAGAGGAAAAAGTACTCAGGAAGGAGGAATACCCCCAAAAAGAACTATTTGTGTCCCTGTAGCGTTTGAGCGATGATGTTTGGTATTGGATTTTGTGCTAGGCTTTAAACTGCAAGGGAATTTTCCTTGTGTCCCAGGATGAGAAAGGAGGGGACAAATAGATGAGATGCTCTCAGAGCCAAGTAAAATAATGTAGTTTGTTGAACCATTTGACTTGATGATCTTAGAAATCTTTTTCAGCTGTAACTATTCTATGATTCTGTGATTGCCTGGTACCTGGATTGATCTCTCTTTTTGTGACTTAAGTGTTGTCTTTGTCCAAATCCTCCACCTTCTTGCTGTCCTGAAGAAAGAGGGGCCAGTCTTACCTCCTCAGCCATGAAAAGGGTCCTTGACTGGCAGCAGAAGATAGTCCCACTAAGTACCTGTGGTACCTGGCACTGCTTGGCCTGACCTCTCTTGACCAGGCTAGCAGGAGATTTGCTGGCTTACCTTTGGCACAGGGCATGTCTGTAAAGAGGATGGATATTTTTCCTTTAAACAGTGTTCCTGTTCAGTGATGGTGCAGAAAGGAGTCTTCCTTCTGCCTTTAAAATATTTCTGGCCTCTCAGCCTATACTAAAACTTATCAGCTCAACGGGAGAAGGTGAGAACTGTCCCTTGCAGAAAACTTTTCTCTGCCTTCTGGCTGTGTAAACAGCTGGTATGGTCAGGTTATTCATAAGCAGCTACTTCAGATCCTCTTACTAGCTAGGAATGAAAACACCATATATTACTGTGGTAGAAGCCCTAATGAGAGAAATTGCCTCACTTATTCCAGCTGGAGGAATTTGGGGTTTTGGCTTACACTTTGGATGTGATGGAGGCTAATTAACCTAATTATGCATTCAAAGAATCATTATACATTCATAGAATCATAGAATGGTTTGTGTTAGAAGGGACCTTAAAGACCATCTCCTTCTAACCCCCTTGCCGTGGGCAAAGACACCCTTTTTCATCTTCACTTCTTAAATTAGAACTACCTGGTGATAGAAGTGCAGCTAGCTTTGCATTTTAGAAACAGATGAAAATGGAACTGAATGTATGTAACTGAGGGTCACAGCCTGGCTATTTGTTGAGGGACCAGTACTTCCCTAGCAGCTAAATCTAAACAGATCAGCTCTTCTTGAAGTTTGTCCAGCTCTTTCCCAAGTCAGGGATCCTGTGATACACTGTCCTTTGAGATCTAAATAAGAAAAGCCTGTTGTTCTGCAGTTTACATATATAAGAAATAGCAGGTTTTAGGAGCTCTTAGCTGAATTCCTCTGGAAAAGGGGAAAAAGAGATTACACAGGAGATCTTCAGAAGTACTCAAGAAGACAAAAAATTTGTACTGCATTAATGTTCAAGATCCAGCTAGGAACTTTTGAAATTCCATCCCTCTTGAAATTTTGATTTAATTAGGTATTTGCGATCTATCTGCTATGCCTAGCCTGAGTGTGCAGTATTCATTAGTATATTGAGCCTTTTATTTTCCTCATTTGGAAGCCACAAGGGGTTGTAACAACACCCAATTTATGACTGAAGCTTCCCGTTGCAGTTCCTCTGTGGCAGCAGTTGGTAAAAATCAAAGACCTTTCTGCCTCTCCTAAGATTTGCACCAGCTAAGGAGGTGCTAGAGAGTGGCATCACTTCTGTCTATTCATCCTCCCTCTCTCCAGTGTTTTAATATTTTTTGTTTTCAAAGGAAGTGTGACATTGTGCACTACCTTGTTAGTTCCCCTTCACCCCTCTAACTTGTGAACCTGAGAGCTGGCCCACGATAGTGCTCTGCTCCATGGAAAAACTACTCAAGCTGGCAGCAATCTGCAGGGACAGGATCTTCCCAACATAAGCTGCTCGTGCCCACCCAGGCAGAGATGGCGGAAGGATGCCTGGGCATGCCAGTGAAGGGAAAGAGAATCAGGATCTTTGCAGCAAGGAGGATGGAATGGTGCCAGCACCTTTCTAGGGCACTGACTAGTGTTGCTTCTCTTACAACAACCTGCCTGACTCTTGTTTGAATGGAGACCTAGGAAGTTTGAATGGGATGCTACTAATAAGTGTAAACATCATTGTCAGCAAGAGGTGGCTGTTACGTGGTCTGGGCTTTAGGAGCAGGGCCTAGAATAAGGTGACACAGGTATTTCTAAAAATTATCTATGTTTACTTAGGAAACTACTTGCATATACTCTCTCCACCAGTGCATGTAGGTGACATTTCACCTCCGGAATCTGATACTGGTGCATAAATTTCAACTCCCTCCTATGTGTCCCTCCCACTTCACATCAAAATTTGTTGCTCTGTCCTGCTGAGTTAAGTCCCAGGTCTTAAATTTTCCTCTTAGTTTTTAAATAGGATGTTAAAAGACATACTTTTCTCTGCTGCTTTTAATGCCATTAGGAAGAGATTGTCACAGGGTAAGCTGGATATATTAGAGGCTGTTGAATTACGGTGTAGCATTTAGAGGATGAAAAACTGTACAATATTATTTGTTGGTTTTTAAAAAGAAAACTTAGGTAGTTATGGTTCCTTCCATCTTGCCAAAGCTGTGTTTACTGATGGCAGATATTTCCTTGAACTGTCTGTACAATACAACGAGGCAGAGCAAGAGTAGTGCTGTGTCTAAACAACAGTGCTGTATCCAGAAAGGGATTTGTTACTATCTCAGTCTTTAAAAATGCTCCTTTTACACATTCTACAATCACACAGGATGCATTTGTGCTTCCTCTTCTTATTAACCTTTGCTTTGTCTTTCTGTTCTTAGTTTTGCTCCCACACATTAGCGTGGCTATATTTGGAAGCAAGATAAATCAAATCATTGGAAACCTAGTAAGAGTTTGATCTATGAAGTCTGCACAGAGAGGGGCAAAAAGAACAGCTTGTGCCACTTTCCTGCACAGGAATGCTGCATACATCACGGGAAGCCAGCAGCGTGGGTGGAATGCTTTAGCTTGTTTGTCAATGTGAAGTGTTTTGAATAGTGTCACTGAATATAGCAAAATCCTTATTTTCATAGGCCAGATAATCCCTTGTGTTTTCTTAAACAATACACTAAAATGGTCCCTTTTTGGCAGACAAAGAGAATAAAGCAGAACTCATTACTGTAGTCCTGCAACAGCAAACAATTGTATATAGGAGTGCAGTGGAGGCAAAAATGTGGGTTGCAGAGGGCTTATATGAATACTTAAAACCAACTCTGAGAGTGGCCCAGCTACACTAGACATAGATTGTTTTGACCTGTAACCTTATGCACCTGCATCTAGGAGGAACACAAAGCCAAGGTGATTTATGTGTTTTCAGGTTTGGCTTAGGAAAAATAATTTTAATTAGTTCAAAGCAAGCTGCCTTGAATTACTTCACATTTCCTGTGTGGAGAGGAGGAGGGAAGGAGGGCCAGTATGCAGATAGTCAGGGTGGAACAGGTGATATGTATATGAAAGCTTGTTACCTTGTGCATGCTCTTGCCTTTCAGTAAATGAACTTGTTCCTATTAGCAAATCTGAGTAATTTTAAATCCCTAGGGGATGGAAAAATCTCACTGTGTATTTGAGTAAATACAGTATGCAACTTGTTTGCCTGCAAACATCCCCTTCCCTTTCTGGCTTAATTTCACATATTGGTTAGTTGTACCACCAATAGACATTCACTTCCAGAATTATTATTATTCCAGCAGTCTTTTGGAATTTTATTATTCCTTTGTCTTCTGCCTGTGCAGTATGATCCAGCTCATTATGAGGCAAAGAAGTAGGCTTAAGATGTTAGTACTTGACTATCTGGTGTTCCCTGGCTGTTGTTCCAAAAGGGTATGTTTGGACAGGCTCGTTTTGCAGCATGTTTGGCACAGAACTGGTACAACTGGGTGGCCAGAGATTGGAAAACTTGGGAAGAGAGCATATATCTTATCCTATTCTAAATGTGCATGTTGTATAGATTAATTTTACAGACATAATCATGTGCTTACATATTAATGTATTTACAGTGTCACTATTGGAAATAGCTAGTGCAGTCATCTGTGAATACAGCCCTCCATGGAGCTGCCAGGCAAGGTCAAGGCCTGGTCAAGTCACTCTTGAAAGCTACTGTGGGGCAAAATTCTGCTGCACTGCAAGGAATTCTTATAGTGAGGGTATATTTATAGCAGTGGAACATTCCTGCTTGTTTTCAAACAGGCTTAGAAGAGGGTGCCACAATGGAAGATGTGTATTTGGCATCGGTGGAGACAGACCGAGGCGTGAAGGAACAATTGCGGCTTTATGACACCAGGGGTCTGCAGGAGGGTGTGGAATTGCCCAAGCACTATTTCTCTGTGGCTGACGGCTTCGTCCTGGTGTACGCCGTGACCAGCCTCGAAGCCTTCCAAAGAGTCGAACTGCTCAAAAAGGAGATTGACGTCTTCAGGGACAAAAAGGAGGTACATGCATGGTTGGCTAAATGCTGTATCGGTGATAGGAAGTTAAGGTCGCAGAGCTCAGGAAAATGAATGTACCCACAGCCTTGGGCAACCCAGCAAAAAGGAGGCCTTCACATGCCAGGGAAGCTTAATTCACATGCCATGCAGGTCATGCAAAAGAATGCTTTTTTTTTTCCTCCTTATTTCCTCTACTACAGCTAAAATTCAGTCAGCTGAATGCACCAGCCAGGACACTTATGACTAATAAAACATATGGTCTACAGCAGTGCAGCTCATGTTTTTTTAGATATTGTACAGGGGAAGTCAAGTGCATAGAATAATATAACGAAGGGCATTATCTTTGTTTGTTTTGTATTCATGTACTTGATGGCTTACAAACTAGTGTAATTGACAATGGGTCTCCCAGACATTAGTCAATTGGCAAAGCAGCTTTAATGTATTTTAACAACCATATTGAATCAATTCAATTGTGTGAAATGACTGCTCTATTTTCCCTTAGAAAGCAGCTAGTGTTTTCAGCTGACAGTGTTCCAGCTTAGCTAAACAAATATAACTTGCATGTGGCATTAGCGGTATGGCTTTTCCTACAGTATCTATATTCTGGAGTAGTTTTCCCTGTTTAATGTCTTTAGCCTACAGCTTTCCAAATGCCTGTTCTATGCTGTTTAAAAGGAAAAAAAAAAAGCATGAAGAATTAATTGGATAATGGTAGGGAGAGACTTTGCAAAAATGTAGCTTGGTGTGTACTGACAGCACACAGGGTGGTGGAGGAAGGCAGGCTCAAGTTTGACGGCAGATGAATGTGCAGTCACAGAAGTATGTTAGGTGGTAGGGCTGGTGTGAGCTGCACACTGTCACGTATATCAGGGATACAGGAGTCAAGCATAACTCCCCTGCAGGGCAAGGAAAGGTGGACAAGCAGGATTTTTTTTTATTTTTTTCCAGGCACTGTGCTTTATGAAGGCCTTGATTTGGTACTATACACCATGTTGTAATGCAGAGAGGGAGTTACAGCCCCAACAGGATCTGTGTTCTGATCATCTGTGTAACCTGTCAAAATTCTCTCTCATTGCATGCAGGTATATTAGAAAACAGTCAATTTGCTTATCCTTTTGGAGAGCTTAAAATTGTGATTTTGACTGAGGATAACATAGTTTAAAAAGTGGTGGCCACAGTCAGATGGATAAAATAGCTTTAATTCCTGTGATTTCCATTAAAAAATAGGCTTTCAAGTGTACAAGGTGAGATCAGGAGTCCTTCCTTAAGGTAACTGTTAATCAGCAGATTAATGATTCTGTAACTTAAAGTCTGGGCTCCACTAGAATGAATTCTTTACTGAATTGGGAATGTATCTCCACACATGGTGCTTCTGAGCTGGCAGAATTTCAACTCGTTGAGTGGCACAGTCCCCTGTTGTGTGGCAGATGACAGAAAGCACTGATGGCTGGTTTCTTGCCTCTGCTGGCTGTGGGAGCTCTCCAGCACACACCTTAAAGCCTGGCCAAATTTTATACTAAATAGAGGTTTTGTTCTCTTATACTGACAGTGCTTTGCCATAGCTAAAATTCAGCTGGAGCATGTGGTAAATGCACATGCTTTCAAAGCCCTCACAGAGGGGGAAAAAACCCCTAAGCAGCATTTTTCCAAACACCCTAGCCTACTGTAGAAAAGAAAGGAAGCCTTAGACCTCACAGGAACAGGACAAACATCTCTAGCTGGAAAGAAGTAGAAGGCATCCTGGAGTTAGCCTGATGAACAGGAAAGAGCAAGCAGGTGTGGCCACAGCAAACCCCACAAATCATCAGCAAGAGAGGACTTTATCACTTGATCTTTGTCAAACCACTAGTGTAGAGATGAAAACAGAGTTTGACTAAGGACCTTGAACTAAAAATATAGTCATGGTTTGCCTTAAGAGCTGGTGCTGGTAAAACATTTTTAGAAAACAGCTGAAACAAGGAGGAGCAGTGGCTTCGTGTGGCCAGTGCTGCCTTTGGCACTTCCTAGAGCTGAAGCACTGGGAAGGCTGCATGTACTTACTGAGCTCAGCCACACTGGACTGTCTGGGTGATACACAAGTCACTTGATGGATCCCTACAACTGCAGATCTGCGTTGATACCGCTGTGCTGCTCTCCATAGCTAACTAGCTGCTCTTGGAACTGCTCCCCCGAGGACGCTGCTGGTGCTTATCTGCCACTCTCAGCAGACTGCCCCCTTCAGTCCTTCGGGTGGCTCTTGGTGCCTGGGGCTGGGCAGCCAGCAGGGCTGAGCTGGGAGAGGGACCCCATAGCCCAGCCTGCCTGGTCTGCTGGCACGACTGGCTTTATTTATATTGCGGGATGGGGCTTGGGAAAGAAACAAACAGGACAAAATCCACCACTGTGGGATCCAGGCTTTCTCTGCTGCTGTGCATTTTTTCATCTCTCCAGCATCTGCTACTGAGACCTACTCGGATATCATGCTCTTATCATTTGTCTAGGGCAGCTCAATTCCCAAGTAAGTGGAGAATAGGGCTGTTTAACTTTGGATCTCTTGGGTATTGTTTCCCTTCAAGCAATCACTGAGGGCGGGGAGCGGGGTGGCAAGAAGGGGAAGTCCTGCATATCCTATGATTAAAACAAGCTTCCAACCCATAAGTAGATGAGGCTAATTCAAATCCCAGACCCTGATCTTCCAAACTACAGGCAACTTACCTTGTGCCAGTGCTAAGTTACAGAACAAGTCTGAACTGTGTTGCTACCTGCCTGCTGCTTAAAAGGATTGTGGCGGGTGGATGGTTTTGGTATAAAGCTCACCCTCTTGTTTGGTTTGTAGGTTGCAGTTATTGTCTTGGGAAACAAAACTGACCTCCTGGACCAAAGGCAAGTGGAAACAGAAGCAGCACAGCAATGGGCAAGGGCTGAGAAAGTGAGACTGTGGGAAGTGACTGTGACAGATCGGAAAACACTGCTTGAACCCTTCACCTTCTTAGCTAGCAAACTGTCCCAGGCCCAGAACAAATCAACATTTCCCTTGCCTGGAAGGAAGAGCAAAGGGAATAACTGTGAAAACTAGACTAGCTTAGCATTGTCTCCTGCTGCCAGGTCACAGTCTAAGTCCTTTTTGTGCCATTTGCTCCTTGCAGTTTCATTTAAAGCAATAATACCACTCAGCAATAAAATCAGCAAGCTTATAGCTAAGAGGCATCCTTCCTTCTCACAGACTTGGCTTGAAAAAGCTGCTGTTGGTAAAAGCCTCAAAAAGCACTTCATGAGAGCAGTTATTTTGCTGCCAGGATTATGGAGGAGGAAGGGATAGATGGGATACCTCTTAGCAGGGCCTTTTACTATGCCTGGATATAGCCATGTTGAGGGACAAATCAACAAGCTTACCAGTATATAATCGCCCTGCAGATCTATAGCCTGTAGTCACAAAAAGTAGCTGCAATTTGGAAAAAGCTTTCAGTTTGGAAAGGTGATATATTTGAAATGGCAACAGTTCTTTTACCTTGACCTTAAACAGGGCCATAGGGCTTTTTGATGCTGCAAGAGACTGAGATCAGTGTCTTGCTGTAGGAAAGGATATGGAGTGGGAGGAACAGTTACCAGATTTAGCCAGTGATGTTTTGCTAGTGTCTGGAAGAAAAAAAACACCCCCCACATCTTCTGGGAAATACCCCAACATGAACCTTGTCAACAAAGTCTAGTAAGCAGTGCTTTCATGTCAGGAATTCATTTGTAGAAACCAGAAAAGCTCTTGGAGCACTCATTGATTGAACAACCTAAGGACAACGCAGCTATGGGTTTGCTCCAGCCTGTCCACTACAAATCAGTCACATTCTCATAGGTGGTAATTTTACTGAGGATTATATGGATCAATTTTGTATGCAGGATGTATTGCTGGGCTCTGCTTAGGGCACACTTACCTGGCTGCTCAGGTAAGCTGCAGCAATCTGCCCTCCATAGGCCAGATAACAGCTGGTACAAAGTGCTGTATGACTCTGCAGGTGGGGGCTGAGGAGGGTAGGAGGCTGCCTTTTTGCAGACATCCCTGTGGCAAATGCCCAGAAATACCTGTACGAACGGCCTCGGTCTTCATGCACTGCACATGGTTCAGCTGCAGGAGCACAGCTGCACGTGCTGTGTTTGCCTCAACCCTGGCAAACCTGTGTGCTGAAGGACTCTGCTGTCCCAGACCAGCCTGGCAGTAAACTGAACTAAAGGGGATATATAGACGGACAGAATGAGCCACTTTTCCCAGAGACAGGAGCCAGATTTTTGGCATCTAACAACCTGCTGTACTAATTGATGCTAGCTTTTCTTTATATTTGAAGGCAAGAGCAGGGAAAGGGAGTGAAGTACCCAGTTTCTGCATTTTCCACTAAATTAATCCTCTTTTGAACAAATACTAAGAATTTCACTGTGAATCAGCAAAACCACAAGCAATATTTGCACTGTCATATCATAAGTGCTAAATTGTGTGCTTAATGATCACAATTAAGCTCATAGTATTGCTCTTCCTGAATACTGATTAATAAAGCCTGTCAGCACTACTAAAGTCTGTCAGCATTATTAATGTCAGAGCAGCAGTACACTTCACTGAAAATTAAGCAGGAATCTCTACCATTATAATGGAGGTAGACGAAACTGTTTATGCGCTTTGCTCAATATGGTTTGAATTGCTGTGGCCAAGGAGTAAGATAAGAGAGTAATTATGAATGAGCAAGCTTTTGTAATGCCCTGCTAGGAACATAAAATTGTTTCCATTGCAACACTGCAGCTGAGTAAGCACTATAGCACGACCTCCCCCTACCTGGCCAGTAATAGTCATTGTCCCCAGCAGTGCTGCAGGATGACACTCCCTCCTCACTCATTTCCTACTGAACACACGTGTAAGTGTACTCCAGGCTTCTTCCTACCCAGAAGACCCAGTATATGCTTGCATGCTTGGCAAGTGGAGGCGACTTCAGAGCAGCAGTGGTTCACCACCTCACTACAACCTCTTACCAAGGAATGGGTCACGTTCCTATTCTTCAGCTCTGCAAAACCCTTTTTCTCAAAGGGACTTCCATCAGCCTTGAAGCAATCAAAATAAGTGAAGATGTCTACTAATAGCACATCACTAAAGCTGACCCTTGAGCCAAAGGAGTGCATATTGACAAGTCTGAATGAACTTAAAATGCCTGGAGATGGAAAGAATGGGGATGACTGGTTCCTGTCCAGCTCTGCATGCTGCAGACTTGGTGCCAATTTTTCTGCCAAGACTGATGTCACCTGTAGGCTGCCAGAGCTGTGCAGTGCAAGTGTAGCTTGCTTGCTTGCTCCACTGGACTTCCAGGACCTGACTGTTTTAAGACAGGCAAGGGAAACAGATCTTCTAAATGACTAAGGCCATTTTTCCAAATAGGCTACATAAAGGCAAACACATTTTCTTTGATTTGGCTAAATTTAGAGTTTAGATTATTTGAGACATTCAGATAAAAAAAAAAAAACACCACCCACTGTTTTCTTTCATAAACTTATTCTGATGTTTTTTCTAAATATTATAGTGTTTTACTGACAAGTGATGGAAAATCTGGTGTCTCATCTACAAATGATATGCACACAGTGGCTGTTACTGGATAAAAATGAAACTTGCTGTAGTAGAGTTTTACACAGGGCTAACAGGCAAAGTACAGTGTATAATGTGATAGCTAATGGGCAGAACATGCATTTTTTTCTTACTGTTCCACTGACTCAAACCCTGTTCTAGGTCACTGGGATTATTTACCTGCTGCAAAACTAGAGTCCTTTCACAATATAATGGAGAAAAATTATTATAAAGAAGAAAAACGAATTAGGAAACTAAACCATCTTTCTCTCTTCCTCTAAAGCCTCTACCCTGCTGAATAAACATTGTACAAATCAGTTGCCCCCACCAGTTACAACAGTTAATTTGACATGTCCTGGTGGCACAAAGCAAGAAGCTGGAAAAAACCTACTGAGAGATTAAGCCATTTACTCTTTACTCAGTAGCAGAGAGGGAAAGATTACCAGAGATGCTCCTAGTGTTATGTAGATACCAAACAGGCAAACAGCTGAGGGAACTCATACACCAAAGGCACTGTCAAATGACAGCAGTTCAACTGATGAGGGTAAGGTGCTACTATCCACAGCCACCCAGCAAAGGAAAGGACACTTTTAATTAACAGACCACTTTGGCCCAATTTAGATTTGCTCTGTATCTAGATAGGATGAGAGGTACTCAAATGAAATACATGCAGAATTTTTTTTGCTCCAAATCCGAGAGCGCAGATGACCACCCAGCACTCACAAGAATGTCGCAAGGTGAAGGGCTCGCCATGTGAAAATGAATCTGTGCTTCCGGCCTGTACCTTAAGGGAGTGGTTACAAATGCCATCTCCACAATTTACTGCCCTCTTGCTACACACCTCACTGTAAACACTATGTCTCTAGGAGATAATCTTTATAGGTAGTTAAAGGCTCTACAGATACGCCTTTACGGTGTTGTCTGCTACCTTACCAGGGCATGATTCCTTCTCTTCCAAGTGTGGATAGTCCACTCCATCAGAAAAGCATCAAGACATTCTTTTCTTCCTTCTGCTTCTGGCCTCTTTCCCTTCCAGATAGCTTACACTTTTCTGGTTGTACTTTCAAACAACATGCCAGTCCTGCAGAGGCAAGGCTGTGAAAACTTAAGCTAAAAATTAACTATCATGGACTCTGTGGCAAGTTACCTCCTCATGGCCAGGTACCTGCACAACACTTAGTGAACACTTGTGAAGGTCTTATGCTGTCATTCATTGTATGGTTGTCTAGAAGTGTCTTCCTAAAATAGCAGCAGTCAGTGCACTCACCTGCAGATCTCCCTTGTCCTTAACCACAGCATAAATCCTCTGAAGCGTACAGATGCTATTCTAGCAAAATGACAAAGCAAGGGACTAAGCAGAAATCTTCTTTTTTTTTTTTAAACATCTTTTTATTAGCACAGTAACAAATGCAGACTTAAGTAGCCCACAACATACAACCAATCCACTGAGTGACTCCTATTCCACACCTTACAGTTAAACAGCTTAAGGTATTTCACTACAGGTTACCGTAAGTCCTGATTAAACCCTTTATTCTTTTCACAAAGATAGATTGGCTTATAAAATAATACATTAACTACTTCTCATTTCATATATGAGGCGATATATACACCTCTCCATATCACAGATCATGAGATGACAGTCTTTAAAAAGGATTTGTTAAATACCAATGTGCCCTCCATAGGGAAAAACAATCCCAACATCTTTTTACAAAAAAAAAAAAAAGAAAAAAAAGAAAAAAAGAAGCTCAACCTAGAACAAAATAAATCCCTCAAACCCAAACAAACAAAAAGCAAAAACAGTGTGTAGAGTCTTGAAAGGACTTTTACATAAATGTCAACCTATGTACCTGTACAAAATTAAGCTGTTTTAATCTTTTACATATTGCAAGCAAACTGAAAACCAAAGAAGTCTAAGAAGTTTACATTCTTCTCGGTACTATATGTGAGCTAATATTGCTGAACTAATTACAGTCTTAAAGTATGCTATTCCAAATCCTAGCTGTCTACTGTAGCAAGATACCTTAAGTTACAACAACAAAATCTTAGGAAATAAAAGACTGAATAAAATCTGTTATAGAAATACCCTACTCTTTACCAGCACCCTCCCTCCCCCCACCCCTTCAAAATCATAAGCAGCTCTTTCCATCACAGACAAATAATGTAAGAGTTTGAAGAAAATCCAATTTATGTAGCGTATCTTTTGGTCCATTGTCTGGCCATTCTGTCATGCTCTGCTCTGTTAGTCATATACTGAGTGGCAATACTTCCAACCAGGGGGTCAGCTGAAAAGGAAACACACCGCTTATTTCAGACAAGTTACCGAATAAAAACTTTTAAATAAAGCTAAAGTGTGAATTTCATACAAGGCAAACACACAGGCAAGGTACACTGTAACAACCTAAACATACTGAGTTGATGATCTGTATCTTCTCTGATTTTATGTATTTATGGTGATGTACTAATCTGTAATTTAACAAAGTGAAATGCCAATAAAGTTTTAAGAAGTTTAAGACACAACAATCAGTCATATTTTGCATTACTGAAGGTTTTCACCAATTCATGCATTTCAGGTTTATTTTATTCCTTCTAAGGGTGACTGAGATACTCATGCTAAGTGTACTTGTAACAAAGTAAAGCTGCCTTCTAGGAAAGGCAAAATCTCAAGAAGGGGTTTAGTACAACAAGTTTAGGACACTGTTAAATCTCACCTTTCTCTCCTCTTTAGACATACAAAAATGCAGTCTGTAAAATGACTTTAGACACGAAGACATATTCCTCTTAACTCGTGTGGACAGTGGGTGGGTTAGAGCAGCAGTGATGACCACTTGCAGCATAGTTGGTCACTTTTAAATGTATGATGGAAAGTAAAAGGTCAACCCCCCGTTTTCAGAACTGTTTGTGGCTCTTCAAGCTCTGTTACTGAATTACTGTAGCCCTACAGACCAGTGAAGACTGTGTTTGGAAGGGGAAGGATTTTCATGTGCAGGAGGATCGCTTGTTTCCCCATGGGTCAGCCTGAGGAGCAGTGAAGAGCAGGCTGGTAGGGGATATCCCCCTCCGCCAGCTCCAGCCCCTCTCTGACTGCCCTGGAGAGGGAAATGTACTCCACCGGAGGCAGGAACTGAGCTGGCCAATACCAATGGAATGAGGAGGGCCACGTTATTTAGGTGCTGGCAGGAATGCAAGGCGGCAGGTGGACTTACCGGGGTTACAGTCTGTGAGGAGGGAGCAGATGGAGAGGAGAACTTTAGAAATGGTTAACGCTGGACTCCAGTTGTCTTTTAAAATGTCCAGGCAGATGACGCCTTGGCTGTTAATGTTACAGTGGTAGATCCTTGTCCGGAACGTTACCTGCAAGAGAGGGGTGTGAGCGGGTGTGCCGGGGTGCCGCAGGCTGTGGGGAGGGACAGGACAGGAGCTCCAAGCGAGGGAGCGAAGCAGCGCCCGGGCGCGCCGGCCCAGCCGGGTCCCGGCCTGACCCACGCCGGGCTCCCCGGGCCGCCGCCGCCCTCTCGCGGCGAAACAAAAAAGAGCCGGATTTAAAACAAAAAACGAGTAAGTCTCAGGAGCCAACTTCCACGTAAAACCCAGGTTGTGGTGGGTTTAAAATATTTTTTTTTTTTAATTTGTTTTTTGTTCCCAATGACAAGAGGGCCCGGGGCCTAACACCAGCATTTTTCTCCTTCTGGACTCCCAAGGATTTGTAAAATCTTCCAGACAGGCCAAGGCACTTAGAATCACAGCTTCCATCACTTCTAAGAGGCTCAAAAATGGGGGAAATTAGTTAGATTTACTTATTTTCATGAGCTAGGCAGCTTGCCACAGAAGTTACCCAAAAGGGAAACACAAGCAGCAGGAGCCATTCTCAGAACACCATGGGACCTGCAGAGAGGCCCTACCCCGACTCACTGAGTGAACAGTGACAACAAATTTGGTGCAATTTGCACGGATTAGGATTATGCACATGAATAAAGTCTGGTGGGTTCATGTCCTAAATCCTCAAAATTTGTCAGCTATCCACACCTAGAAATTTTATTGTCTGTTTATAGGTCACAAGAGAATTTGCAAAACACACTTGGTAAGCGTGTGGTATGACAAGAACACACTAGTGCTTTCTCTTGAGATGGGACCAGCCCACTCATAAAACTTGCCAGTCAATCCTCATTTTTTCTACTGCCTTTCTGATGCAAAAAATTTTCCTGTGACCCTCCCTCTCACAGGCTTGGGGAGCAGGCACAGGGTGGGGTGTCACAGCTACAGAACCCTGGTGACTGGCATGTCCCTGCGCACTGAATCCGTGCAGTGTTTCCAAGAATGCTCCCAATGCACAGAGCACATGGGCTATTTCTGGACTTCCAAAAGCGGTTACTTGTCACACAGGAGACACCCACACTGCATGCTTGGGGAGATTTTATGCTTTATTTCTTGTCAGCTGCTTGGATTGTGGATTAAAACAGGAAGCAAACAAAGGAAACCCTGAATCCCTGCACGTTTGCACATTATGAGGGAAATAGCAAAACGACTGCAAGAGAGCAGAGATGTGTTACCCTCCCACATTTTCTGCAACAAGCTGCCACTCCAAAACCAAGAACTCCTGATGCTTTCTACCTAGGGAGCCTTAGAGGTACAGCAGACAAGAAACTTAAATGACCTTTGTTTCCCAGATCATCTAATCTTCTGAGGAAAGGCAGCAATTACTCCCTGCAGTCACATGGAAGTCCACGTGCACCAGCCTGAGCAGAGGGTGTATGGTGTATCTGCCTCTGCTTACCTGCCCCAGCCCACGCTGTTCAGGGCAAAACACCTTCGTGGCATTTGCAGCTGCTGGCAATGGCTCTGCCTTGGGTTCCTGAGCAGCCCTCAGCCCAGCCCTGCTGCTTGATCGGTATTTCTGTGTTTGACCTGCACCTGGCCTCTTTCCAAGGTTTCTAACTGTAAACGAGGTAACAATTTTGACAGCTTGAACACTTCCAGAAGTAGAATAAGCATGGAGTATTTCCAAGCTGATACAATAAAGCCCAAATTAACATAGGTCAACAGTTCTAATTTGTAAAGACTAAGTTGTTAATCTTGATTCTCAGCACAAAAGCTAAATACTCTGTAGACAGTCTCTCAGTCCACTTGACTAATAACTGATAACAAAGCATGAATGCTGCTCGCCTTTAAGAATAAGTTTAATTTTAAATTATTTTTCATGAAGAAGGGGAAAGTGAAAATGAAAGAAGACTCTCACATACTTGCAGAACAGCCCGGTTCCTTAACACACCTTAACATATAATCCTTAAGTGATAGATCCATGGCACTAAAAGCAGTTTCCTGCAGCTAGAGGAACTCTACCAAGCACTGTGGAAAAACTCTAAATTTGTTTTCACTTTAGCAGCAACTCAGAACTAGGATGGTGTTAGACACATGTAGTCCAGCTGTTTGCCATTTACAATTTTTGCTGATGGCACAAAAGCCAGCAGTGCAGGGAAACCAAAAGGAACTGCAAGTGGGAGAAATTGGAGGCCCACTTGTAAACATACAAAAATATGTAAAGTAAATGCTCATTACACCCTAAAGAGGAAAAAAAAAAAATCTCACCAAAACCTAGTACATTCAGACCAAAATCAAAAGAAACGGAGTTACTTAGAAGGTAGTGAAGAGAACAGCATGTGGAATAGCAGAAAAATACAGTGTAATTGAACAATCCTTTGGAAATGTCCCACCTGAGATTACATTAATGCAGTAACTACATGGAGTTAAGCACAGCTTTTGAAAAGACATAAAAGAAGCTAATCTCAACCCTACCCTGAAGTGATAGCAGAGGTTAATTTACACAAGCAGCAAAATAGGAGTGGGTGGAAGGAAGTGGTCAGAGGTTATTAATACAAATGATCAAAGCACACACACCAGGTCAACACAAGCTACTGTTTTCACCTCAGTAAATGAAATCTAAACCAACTATAATGTAACTCTTGGGAAAATGTCCATTGCAATAGTACAAATACTGAACTCTTAAATTCTAATTATACTTGTTTATCGGATTCTTCTAAATCCAGGCACACCCAGCACGTGCCTGACTCACTTGCTATCTGAAACACAGGCAAAACCAGAATACAACACAAAATGAGAAAACATAAAAAGCAGAGAACATATTAATGCTAACATCTTCAAGGTGTTGCATAGAATGCTCAATTAAATGCAAAATAACTCCATTATACATATTTAGGACATGAAAGAGAGTATCCATCCCTGTATCAGATTTCTCCCACTGAAGTTCCTTGTATTGTGCAACACATT